CAGCTTGGTGAGAAGGTGACAACAGTTGGTGCGATTATTCGCAAATGGAAGAAACACAATATAACTGTTGGTATCCCTCAGTCTGGTGCTCCATGCAAGATCTCACCTTGTGGAGTTTCAATGATCATGAGAATGTTGAAGAATCAGCCCAGAACTACACGGGAGGATCTTGTTAATGATTTAAAAGCAGCTGGGACCATAGTCACCAAGAAAACAATTGGTAACACACTATGCCGTGAAGGACTGAAATCTTGCAGCGCCCGCAAGGTCCCCCTGTAGCACATGAACAGGCCCATCTGAAGTTTGCCAATGAACATCTGAATGATTCAGAGGAGAACTAGTTGAAGTGCTGTGGTCAGATGAGACCAAAATTTGGCTCTTTGGCATCAACTCACCGTGTTTGGAGGAGGAGGAATGCTGCCTATGACCCCAAGAACACCATCCCCATCATTAAACATGGAGGTGGAAACATTATGCTTTGCGGGTGTTTTTCTGCTAAGTGACAGGACAACTGCACCACATTAAAGGAAAGATGGAAGGGGCCATGTACCATCAAATCTTGGGTGAGAAGCTCCTTCCCTCAGCCAGGGCATTGAAAATGGGTCATGGATGGGTATTCCAGCATGACAATGACCCAAAACACACAGCCAAGGCAACAAAGGAGTGGCTCAAGAAGAAGCACATTAAGGTCCTGGAGTGACCTAGCCAGTCTCCAAACCTTAATCCCATAGATAATCTGTGGAGGGAGCTGAAGGTTCAAGTTGCCAAAAGTCAGCCTCGAAACCTTAATGACTTGAAGAGGATCTGCAAAGAGGAGTGGGACAAAATCCCTTCTGAGATGTGTGCAAACCTGGTGGCCTACTACAAGAAACGTCTGACCTCTGTGATTGCCAACAAGGGTTTTGCCACCAAGTAGAAAGTCGAAGGGGTCAAATACTTATTTTACTCATTGACATGCAAATTAATTTATAACTTTTTTGACATGCATTTTTCTGGATTTTTGTTTTTGTTTTGTTATTCTGTCTCTCACTGTTAAGATACACCTACCATTAAAATTATAGACTGATCATTTCTTTGTCAGTGGACAAACATTCAGAATCAGCAGGGGATCAAATATTTTTTCCCCTCACTGTAAATATATTTTGATAATCTTTATAAAATTAAATATATTAATCAAATTATAGAGATAACTGAAAGACTGCTGGGTCGTCAGGCCTCTCGTGATCAAATTTAGACTCCATAATGGAATGTTAACCCCTTAAGGACACATGACATGTGTGACATGTCATGATTCCCTTTTATTCCAGAAGTTTGGTCCTTAAGGGGTTAATGGGGAGATTAGTCCTCTAAACACAATCACTAATTTAAGACGAAACTAGGCAGTTCAGTGCCTGATCTTACAGACATTACCACCCACTCCCACCTAATTTATCTGTTTGTTTTTTGTATGTGTGTTTTGCTTACATCTCTGAGAACTGCACAATTGATACGTTTTGTCTCTTATTTGTGATGTTTGTCGGTTTTTGTATATTTATTCAATATTGTTACGTGTCCAGTGTTTTGCTATTTTTATATACAAACATGCCACTAAAATAATAGTGTTGTGTTACATATTTCAAAAAAATTAAAGAGAAAGAAAAGCTGGATTTGCCACATAATACTTTCATCATTGTTAACTGACAAATAAAAAATAATAAACTTTTTTATATACATAAAAAAATCTTATATATACAATGTTTTAACAGGATAAATGTACATCACTGTGAGACAAATATTATTCATTGATATACTTTACATTTATAATTTCTAGAATGAACTGTTTGCATTTATTTTGTATGTACCCTGTTCTCTTTCTCAATGAAATAAGATATAAAAATTTTAAAAAAATAATAATAATACCAGTTTATGGGTGTAGGGGGAGCTCTTTCCCCTTTTAAGAGCAAGTATTAGATTTGGTTAGAGTCAGACTGTGCGTTCCATAGAATGGTAAGTATACTGCTCAGACTGTTACTCTGAATGTCATCCTTGTTCCTGGCAGAGATGAATTGACTCTCACCCTTCACTGACAGGGCAGACAGCCCGCGTATTTCCCCTAGTCCTGGCAGATAAACACTGGCTTCTCATCACCAGTCCTTGGGACATCTAAGCTGCCCTGACCTTGTAGAAACAAGACTTGGACAATGGACTACTTTGCCCTGGCTGCTCCCTGAGTGACTCCTGCAGACAGTATCTGAGCTCACCTGCTGGGTGCTCTTAGCCTGTGAATTAGAAAGACCTGCAGTACTGGGAGCAAGAGACAGTCCTGCAAGCACCCCCTCCTTCACTGGTATAGTAACATACCCCTATATTCCTCCCCTAGCTGTACATGGTATACACCCTTTTTTTGCTCATGAACAGCTGTACTGGAGATAGACCTGTTCTGCTGGAGAATGTGGATTTGGTAATATTCTCAGGGAAATAACATTTAGAATCTTCTGTAACCATCAGCACAGCACAAACTAATGGTCGCCTCGTCTGAGAACTAATTTCCTATTTCCTTACTTGGGATAACCTAACACCCGAATTGAGGAAAGGCTGCACCTCTGTGATCTCCCTCTCCCCCTGTGTCACACCCTGCATTTGGATCTTCTCTTGGACAGAACATTGATCCGCCCGGGGGGAACATGGCCCGCTGGGAAAGTTACGGGTAATCATTGTACATGTCTTTGTGTGTGTGTGTGTGTGTGTGTGTGTGTGAGAGCTAGCAGTTTGTGTATGTAAATGAGTTCATGGGTGCACCTGCTTTGTCATTTTCCTGATCAGAGGGGAGCTCTGTGTGTAGATGTATACAGCAGATACTCCACTGTTTTTATACATTAACCATTTTTACTCATTAGCATAGGCTTGTTGAGTGTCAAATTAAAAGCAAAATACTAATTATGCTAACGTGCGACCTCCCCCCTCCCCCCAAAATTATGTTTATAAGTGTACAGCATCTATGGTATCTTCAGTTAAAATTATTATTTGATTGTCAGATGTGAAAATGACCTGTAGGTTTTATACTGCAAAAAAAAGGGGGAAAATTTTTTTTTTTTTAAATTAATATGGGTATCTAATGGATTTGTTTACATTTCATATCCATGTTATAATATTATTCTTATAATTGCATTTAATTTTTTACATTGTATTTGGACCTCTAGTAATACATTTTTAGTCAAGAAACATAACCAGGTTTTAGCTATTCATTTGGCTTAGCCTGTTTGCAGGTATTTTATAGGCAGCAAAGATTAACTAGTTCTATTCCTTGATAAATCACACTGAATTTCTCTACGCATATTCCGCCACTGAAGTGATGCATATATAGATGAGAAACTAAGGCATCTTTTTTTTTTTTTTATCTTTTTGCCATAAATCCTGATTTTCATTTTGGGTAGAATCTAGCATTTCTATAGTTGCATGAAACATTTGTAAACTTTTTATAATGCTATGTAACAGGTAATTTTTTTTTTTTCTCTCAGATTTGGATTTAAACAATATGCTATCTAGTTAATTTCACAACTACACTTCAGTATTTTTCTTTAAACTTTAACGATTATACAGGTATTTTATTTTTTTCCACGTCAGTACGTCTAGCAAACATTACCAAGTGAAATGTATAAAGAAACAGTTACTCCGTTCTATACAGCTTGGACCATATTAAACAAGTCATTGTACATTAAGTACACACAATCTGACAGTGGAAATTAAGATAAGCAAACATATGGACGGTAATGTTACTCTGGAGTGGAGACATGTTTGTACGTTCTGAACACTGTCAGATTTCTAGTAAAATTGTGTCTTCTAATATATATATACCTAACATTCCAGATGTTAACATTTAGCATGCAGGATACGTAAAATACCTACTAACCATCGCAAGGGCTGTAAAATTTAGGTTTGCTGTGATATGGATCATGCTTACCTTTAAAATACATTTACTGGTCTTGTGTAAAATTCTGTGATTTGTGCATCAATGTTAAAGACTACACCCGTGAACAGTCCTAAAGTTTTTTTGGTGACTATAAGACAAATTCACCACAATTACCAAAGAATCATAAACATAGAGATTAAAATAGGTTTTCGTGTTATATTTTGGAGAAATGTATGTATTTTCTCATACCACAATGATCTACTGTAATCCTTAACTATGAATTGTTCAAATAGAAGTTCAAATTTTAGCTCAAATTAACTGGACTGAAAATATAACTTGGAGAATTTTTCCAATTTGTCCAAAAATCTAAATTCTGTGGTGGATTTCCACCTGTTTCCATTTTAGTGGATAACCCCACATATCAACAGGCGTAGGCTTCTCTGCAATAAAACTATTATTCCAAAACATACATACCTAGGCTAAATAACCAGTCCAAGCAAAAGACTCTGACGACCAAAAGGCCAGATTTGTTAGACATGACCCAATGTACTGTTAAAAGAGAACTGTCACTTGAAATTAATATTTTTACATTTTCTTTAATTTACAGCCAAGAGAAACATGCTATGTCAACTAAATGTATCTCCTATGATTCCTTACACATCTATATTATATACAGCAGATTTATTGTTATGGTGAGCATAGTCCATATCATGGCAGCACCCATTACTCATTTGTAAAGATGGTTAGTAGGCATTTTATTTATACTGACTGCATGTTTAAAGGTAGAGACGTACTTGATTCCGCACTCCCTAAATAACCCAGGTGCTATGAAGCCAGGTCTGGCCAAGCCTCCCTTCCAATATACGCAGAATAAATAACGGTTCAGAATTGACAATCTCAGCCAATCCAGTGCTTTCCTAGGCAGATCAGGGTCAGAACCAGCACCAACAGACTATAAAAAAAAGGAAAGATTTTACTATATTTAGAGGGTTGTGTTGGGACAGGGGGGGGGGCTAGATGGTGTTTTTAACATTATAGGGTTAGGAATCTATGTTTGTGTTCCTTTAAATATGCAAAAATCGTCCAGGCACTCCAGGTTAACACAAATAGCAGCTTTATTGGGGCAAAAGCAGCAATGTTTTGACTCTATTGGGTCTTTATTAAGCTTGATAAAAACCCAGCAGGGTCAAAACGTTGTTGCTTTTGCTCCAATAAAGCTGCTATTTTTGTTCTCCTGGAGTGCCTGGACGATTTTTGCATATTTAAAGGAACACAAACATAGATTCCTAACCCTATAATGTTAAAAACACCATCTAGCCCCCCCTGTCCCAACACAACCCTCTAAATATAGTAAAATCTTTCCTTTTTTTATAGTCTGTTGGTGCTGGTTCTGACCCTGATCTGCCTAGGAAAGCACTGGATTGGCTGAGATTGTCAATTCTGATTATCTCAGCCAAAGAGGTGGACTGGGGGCGGAGCCAAACACCGGCTTGGCCAATGAGCATCTTCTCATACAGATGCATTGAATTAATGCATCTCTATGAGGAAACTTCAGTGTCTCCATGCAGAGGCTGGAGACAGTGAATGTCTGTTTGTGCAGCACTGCCCCAGGAAGCACTTCTACTAGCCATCTGAGGAGTGGTCAGTGGAGGTATCCCTAGGCTGTAATGTAAACACTGCCTTTTCTTTGAAAAGATGGTGTTTACTGCAAAAAGCATGCAGGGACTCACTATACTCACGAGAACAAATACAATAAGCTGTAGTTGTTTTGGTGACTATTGTGTCCCTTTAACTACCACAGATGGGGCAATAGTATATACTAGAATGAATGAAGATGTAAAGGAAAAAAAAAATGACGTGGCATTGCTAGTTGCTGTCCAAAAACCCCATCCAAGTGCCAATTCTCTCTATCATCCTAATATTTTTATTAGCATTTTTATTACACCAATATATTCTACTGAGCTTTACAGTTATAGAAAGGTGATATTTAGTGGTAAAGAAGGGCCTGCTCAAATAAGCTTACAATCTGTGAGTGTTTGAGGTAGGTGAGTATATATTAATGGGTGTCTTGCCCAATGACCCTTACTGGTAAGTTGGTCTATCAGGGATTTAAACCAAATTTTTTAATTTTTTTTTAGTTCAGCATTACCACTGCTTTAGCCATTGGCATGTCAGGCTTCTTAGTAACAATGGATTTGCTTGACACTAGCCCTGATATGAGTATAAGATACGATCGGCTTATTCACAAAAGGGATAACTGTTAGGAATTCAAACTGAATTTCAAATTTAAATGCAAATTAGCCAGACTGGAAAAATTCTCCAAGTCCGTTTTGCTTTCAGTTTTTCTACGTTTGGCCTTAAATTTGAAATTAACTGTTAATTCCCAACAATTTTCACTTCAGTGAACAGCCCTGTTTGTAATTGTCTCAGTATATTCTAGCTTTCGGATATCTATATATCTTTGAAATAATTGCAAGCTTTTGTTCTTCAGAATATGCCATCTGATTTGCTATATTTTATATCCCAAGCATTCAATCAATCAAAGTAATTTTTGTAATTTCATCATTTGAATTGTGTCCAGTTATATTGTTTCTTTAACATTCAAAATAGACCTGGTCGGAGGAAGCATACGAAGTAATCTTCTTCTGTCACGGAAATTAGAGAAAATATTTTACATTAAAGGGACACTATAGGCACCCAGACCATTTCAGCTAATTGAAGTGGTCTGGGTGCAGTGCCCCTTCTGCACTTAATGCTGCAATGTTAAACATTGCAGTTCCTGACACTCTGCATGAGGACATCCAGCGTCAGATTTTTCCACTTAGGAAAGCATTGATATAATGCTTTTCTATGGGGAGATCAAATGCACATCTTATGATCTACCTTTTGGGCACCCCTATTATAGAGGACGAGAAGAACAAATTGATGTTAGACTTAAGCAGGTGTTGTGCAATTAAGTTTGACAGCAGAAAAGGAGGGAAAATTAAAATGGATGTAAGGGTAATGCTTAAATAGTTTAATACGCAATTAAAAATTAAACACAATGAGGGGTGTAAAAAAAGTCCTATTTTATAGTATATGTTCATTAAAAAGTAGTTTTAGTGTACTCAAAACTGTGCAATGAGACTTGCCACATCTGTAATAATGTAATTCATTTACAAGCAAATCTGCATGCTAGCTTGAAGACAACCGTTGTTGAAGCTTGACCTTATTGTAGCGGCAGTAGGAATTGTCAGCTGGTTCTATAAGGACTTTCCATGCATAATTAAGTAAAAGTGCTTAACAGTGGCTTTAAGATAAACACATACAAGGCTGGCGCCAGTTGCATATACGATAATTTAGAAATGGGATAGGCACTATACTGGGGTGGATTATGTTAACATGGCTCTTCAAGTAATATAACTACTTCTGTATTTTGTAACCACCACAACTTGTCTGTGGTGCATTGAGTCTCTGGGTGCAGTTTATGTTATATCATTTTTAAATGGTTTAATGAGAGTATCCTGGGGCCCTTGGCAGTTCTTCAGGAATGTTCTAATGTGGAAGCTCATTTCTTAGTTATCCATTTATTTATTTGTAAAGTATAAGTGAGATTTATCTTTATAGAACCATATTTATTCCTTTTTAACAATATTTAAGAGATTGGTTATTGGAGAGGTCCCTAAGCCCATGGCCACCTGTGGGATTGGATTATTTTTATCACTTGACGCTAAGACGGGACATTTCTGGGCTCCTTTGGGTGGGTGCAGGGATTTTATTTTTAAATTATATTAATCAGTACCAGATAGTTTGGTGAACTTCCTGCCCTATTGCTTTTAGGAGTGGACATTCTCTAATGTTCCACTTAGCAGAGTATAAAATGCACACGATTTGCCATTAAAGCAACACAATAGGCATGGGTTTACTTTGTTTTTTAATGCACAAATTGTTAATGCATTAGAAAAATAATAGAAATGTTCAGAAATTTCCTGATTTACATGACTAGGAAAGTAGAACAGATGGTAGATGCCTTCCTGATGAGATAGAGGCTTCACCCATCAAATGTCCAGCATTTTGGGATGAACAGTTAATACTCCAGGAAGATTTGAACTGCTTTATAAACTGATTAAACACTGATACTGTGTGACCTGAATAATAGTTTTGGAAAGTATTGAAATCCGTCAGTTTGTTTTTTGTAGCGTACAGAAGTGCAATTGGGGAACTTGCTTCTTGTAATTCTATGTGTAAATGTCAGAAAGACCTTTGATAAGTTTGATCCTGTAAAAGGACTACGTCTCTCATCCCTGTCTGGCAGATGAGAAAACAAAAATGGACATGGTAGGTAGATTTTCTACCCACCATTGCCCAACATCGCCCCACAGGCCGGGATGCAGAGTTTTTTTGTCATTTTAGCCCACAAGTGAAGTCTATATATGCACTTTTCTGTGTTACTTTTGACTGCTCTTTAACTGAATAAAAATAAAGAGTAGGAAAATAGTTTGTACATGGCATCTGATATGGTTTTTGCTACTGACCATGTTAACGGTTATGGTTACCACAACTTTAAACTGAACCATGTGAATGATTTTTCTTGTGGGAACTGTATTCTTCATGTGTCTCTTTTTTTCAAATAGTAAACTTGGCTACAGAGCAGTGGCGGAACTAATGTAGAGAAGGCCCTGGTACAATAATGTTTTTGCTTCCTCCATCGCAAGGGTGGCTAAAAGGTAGATTGCTATCTGTCATACAACTGCCACAGTGACTTGCCAGCTGGGGATCTACCATATGCCCATCCTTGTAGGTTTGTATTTATTCCTGAGCAGTGTTTGAATGTAAACATGTTTTTGTATAGAGTATGTGTATGGGAATATAGGGGTGTACTTGTGTGTAGTGTTTGCTTTTTAATGTAGCATGTAAGCTCATTGAGCAGGGCCCTCAACCCCTCTGTTCCTGTATGTTCAACTTGTCTGGTTACAACTACATGTCGTCCACCCATTGTAAAGTGCTGCAGAATTTGATGGCGCTATATAAATAATAATAATAGTGTGTTTGCATGTAGGGATGCACCGAAATGAAAAGTCTGGGCCGAAACCAAAACCGAAAATTTAGGATGCCCTTGGCCGAAACCGAAAATGACTTTTTCCCCCCAAGTTTTTTATTAATATTAGACTTTTTAATGAATTTAATTAATCTAATATGAAAAACTTCCCTTCTCCCATCTGTTTTAGTGCCCCCCTTAATGTTCCTCTCTCCCACCTCTTGTGTTCCTCTCCCCTCCCTCTTTTTAGTATTCTTCTCCCCCCTCCCCTGTCCCATTAGTGTTCTTTCCCTCCCCCTCCCCTGTCCCATAGTGTTCTTTCCCTCCCCCTCCCCTGTCCCATAGTGTTCTTTCCCTCCCCCTCACCGTCCCATTGTGTTCTTTCCCTCCCCCTCACCGTCCCATTGCGTTCTTTCCATCCCCCGTCCCATAGTGTTCTTTCCCTCCCCCTCCCTTGTGTTCTTGCAAGCATGTCTGTTAAAATATGCACTACAAATAAATATATATTATTATTATTATTATTATTATTATTATATTTTTAATTTTGGCAAATTTGACCAGTTTTCGGCCAAAACAGGATAGGCCCATTTTCGGCCGAAAATTTCAGCAGCCAAAATTTCGGTGCATCCCTATTTGTATGTCGTGTTGATGTTTGAAAGCAGGGGTGTATTTCTGTGTAGGTTTGGCATTTGAATGTTGTGATGTATGCACATAAACACATGCACTGGCACACACACTGATACACTTCACACATATGCACACACTGACACACATGCAGATGCAAAACATACAGAAACACACATGCAGATGCACAGACACACAGAAACATGCACTGACACATTTAAATACACAGACACACAAGCACGCAAAGACACACATGCTGGTAAAATTTTTTACATTTTTAGCCACCTTCCCTTTTCCTACATTTAAGGCCCATTTGGATCTTCTGTCTAAGGCTGTTGGAAGTCAAAGGTTGGCTCTCACAGTTCACACCGCCTCCTCTGTTCTCATACTGTGCAGCTCAGTGGCCGTTATCTGGGAATAATTGACAGGATCTCACTTCCTCCAAGCGCTGCTGATATGAAAAGGGGCTGGTATAGCTGTTAAAGGGCTTCAGCGCAAAACTGGGCCCCTGATGACACATGATCATGCATGGGCCGCCTGGTTATACTTTGATTAGACTTTGTATAAAATTATATCTG